TTGAAACCCGATTTATTCTGTTCGGACGATTCAAGGTCGTAGAATCGGGGGAGGCGTTTGCGAAATTCGCTTGTCTGAAAGGGAATGAATCGGCTGGACAGAAGAAGGAGCGGTGCGACCGGTCGGACTCGCTTTTCTGGGTCGTCCTCTAAACTGTTAAGCTAAAAAAAAAAAAATGTTTAAAAAAGGAAGCAGATGTTCATGTTCATGTTCATGTGAACTGTGGCAATATCGATGAAGTTTGAAGCGATCCCCTCATGAGTTAGGCCCTCGATGGGATGAGTTAGGCCTTCGATGGGATGAGCTAGGCCTTCAAAGGGATGAGCCGGGCCTTCGATGGGATTCGGTCGTCACCTTTCTCCCTTGTGACCTTGGCCTTTATGGCGATGCGGAAGTGCAGGAAAAAAAGAAAGGCGTCAGAAAGCATTAAAAAACGACGAGAATGCCGAGACTCAAGGCTTTTCGGGCCTCCCCGATCCCTTGAAATGGTCCCGAGTTGGCCCTGAAACGGTAATGTATGCATGGTACTCCCCTGTCGCGCCCGTGTTTGGAAGGGAAACCGTTGCCGACAAAAAAAAAAAACACGGTCGGCCTTCGAGGCCAGAAGGTGGGAGGAAAACAACTGTCTCATTTGCATAAACGTTTTTTTTGGGGAAAAATGTTGATTTTTTGCATTCTTAATTAAAATTGGCGGAATCTTCATCTTTTGGATTCAACATTCAAAATTCGAAACTTGGAATTCAAAATACAAAATCCATAATTAAAAATTCGAAATTTAAATTCCGAATGCAGCGTTCAAATTCAAAACGAAAAAATTAAAATTTCGAAAATTCAAAGCCCAAAAAATTTCTATACTCAAAAATTCCAACAAAAAAATATTGTAATTCTAAAAAAGAAAGACTAAATCGATAAAATTAACATTTAATTTAATGAACATTTTCCGGGAATTTTCCTCAGATTTTCCTCTTGGTCCTCGGGGCGGCGCTGGCCCTGGCGGAGGAGGAGAAGAAGGAGGAGGCGGTCGCCAAGGAGGCAGTCGCCGCGGAACCGGACCTGGAGACCTCCGAGTCGCTCCTCAAGCTCCTCTTCAAGAAGCTCTTCAAGTTCGGTGAGGGCCGCAAGCAAAAAACTTAAATTATTTAATTAAATTAAATATTTTATTTTATTTAATTCAAAATTTTATTTTATATTTTATATTTTATTTGATTTAATCGAGTGCGGATTGGATTTATTTGAAATGACGAGTGATATTAATTCGATATTATCAATAATCTTTCAAGATTAATTCGAGTTGTAATGATTTAATTACTTTAGATATGACTTGAATAAGAAATTGTTTTTTGCAGGAGATTAAAATATTGTAAATTTTAAAATAACTAAAAAAAAACATGATTTATCTTGCAGGCAAGAAGCACAATAAGCACGGCGGCGGATACGGCGGCGGCTACGGCGGCTACAGTAGCAGCAGCAGCGGCGGCGGATACGGCGGTTACGGCGGCTACGGTGGCTACGGCGGTTATGGCGGCGGTTATGGTGGTGGTTATGGCGGCGGTTATGGCGGTGGTTATGGCGGCGGTTATGGCGGCGGTTACAGCAGCAGCAGCAGCGGTGGCGGCTACGGCGGTTACGGCGGCTACGGCGGCGGCTACGCGCACAGAGGATTTGGCGGAAAGAAATTTGGCAAATTCGGCAAATGAAAAAAAAAATTATGTTAACCGCCGAGTGTTCAAATCCCTCAAAAAAAATTTGAACCGAATTTGTACAAAATTCGCAAGTGCCTTCCGTGCTGGAATTTAATTTTTTTTTCTTCTGGATCTCCTGACGCGAATTTTCCGGGTCGCGAAAGTCACGAGACCCTCACCAACGATTTTCACAAATTTTCACAGTTTTTCACAAGTTTCCACAAATTTTCACAGTTTTGACCCATCTCTGTGATACTCAGGGACCAGTTTCGTTCTTTCCCGGAATACAAGCCTTGCTCAATTCGACCTTCCTCTTTTTTTTTTTTTGCACTTCGGCAAAAAATGTGTTCGAACGTTTTGAGGAAATTGGTAATGATTTCTATGGTATTAAATATTAGTGGTAAGGCCTGGATAAAAATACTTGCCTTCGATCAAATTTAATTGCGCTTGAAACATCAATAAATTCGCTCGAAGGCCGAGAAAAATTTTCACGCAAGGGATCTTGAAGAAAAAAATGTGAAGTTTCTCCCAATTGTTTAAATATTTTTATAAAATTTACTAAAATTTTCACGAAATCCCTACGAGTCTCATGTGATAAAGATGACATTGATTTGGTTTCCGGAAAATTTCAATTCATCAACGGCCTCCTTCGCACCAGGCGTTCCCAGGCGCTTCCAGGCGTCGCACCGTCCCCTCACGCCATTCTTCGCTCCTTTTCTTTTTTTTTTTCCCCCTCGTCCAATTGAGGAAAAAAGAAATGCCCTCGAGTTTCTCAATCGCTCAACATTCGTAAATGGAAAGGGCGGGCGCCGAGCATTCCATGATGAAATTTCCCCCGATACATCAATCTCTTCATTCTATTCTGCATAATGAGTAGCCTCCAGGTGGATGTGGATGCCCTGTTTTCGAGTAAATGCCCTGGCAGCGTCCCTCCCTCTCCCCCTTTTTTTTTTTTTTTTTTAGGAGGGGTCCAATTACTCATTATAACGATACACAAGGTTATGTCGCAAAGGTTCCAACAAAACTCAAGTTCTGGCATGTTCATTCCTGTCACGGCACGCGCAGCACGCTTAGCCGTTGATGCTGATGATGGAGGTGGTTCCTCTTGCATTGTCATGCAAGAGGAACCACCTCCCATCAGCACAGCACAGTCGATCCAGCAGTTTTTGGCCGAAAAACTGTCTTGCCTCACGCACCGCATCCGCCTGATTCGCCACCACCGGACATTCCACGCATTCAAGCGACTGTGGCAGAGTTGATGGAACAATATTCCCGAAAAATGACTTCCAAAGTTGCTTGAACAACCTTCAGCGACGTTGACAACAGTGCATTGATGCGGAGGGAGATTACTTTAAAAGGGGAAAAGCACCACTAGTTTGTAAGTACATTTTTTACAACTTTTGCGACATACCTGGTACTTCATCTCAGGAGTGCTCACATATTCTGTCGGACATTAACGCGTTTCGCCATTTCGTCTGGAAAAAAGCCCCAGGACATTTACACACGGACAGCAGAGAGACGCATTCAGCTCTATTAAATTCTTCCTCATCGAGTCGAGGAATTTATTTCTTCCCCTCCTCCCCCAAAAATAGACAATTAAATTTCCTTTCAAACTTAATCATAGATATGAAAATATTTCTGAGAAATATACATGGTAACCATGCCACATCTAGGGTTGTCGACTCCTTTCTAGAACACGTTCAAGAATTCCAATAACACGTTGGCTGTCAAAAATTGTCACTTGGCAAAAAGCGTGTTAAAAAAAAATTAGTTCCCTCGAAACGAAATCATTCTCGACTACGTCATAGTTAATGGTTTTACTTAGGAGTTGCCTGAAGAAAACAGTGCAGGGGCTGGACGAATTTTTTGCTTCTTCTCCCCTTACCGGATAATTTTTTTTCTCACCACGAAAATCCAGAGTCCCCGAGTCTGTTTGTCTCCATTCTGGGACTGCTGCTCCATCCGACCCTTTCCCAAGAAATCAGCGAGGAAAAACGAGTGAAAAGAAAACCTCCCACAACTCAACTTGATTCTCGGCACATCCCAGAGTGTGTCCACCAGCAGCAGGAATTCGTAGAAACGCTGGAGATGGAGAGAAACTGGACTTTCGTAGTTCCTCGCTCTCTCCTATAGCCAGATGGTTGCCTCTCTCCTTAAGTCCCAAATGTCATTTGTGACAAGGCAACCTGACATCCCAAAGAGCTCAACTGCCTAATCCAGTGGATTTAAACTAACAATTGATAACAGTGTGATAGGGGAACGCCAAATGTGCTTCAGGATTTTTAAATCAAACAGGCTACCTAGTTCTAAAGGCCTGTCTAGAAACCCTGCTTATTACATACGCTCAGCATGGGAAAAATTCGCCGAGGGATATCAAACGCATGAAATTCATCACAAGCAACATTCATTTCACTGAAGTCCAACACATTTCAAAGGGTATCTTGAGAGGGCAAATTTTTTGCTGCACATCAAATTCATAACTTGTCATGGTAGCACAGATGGGTTGATTCCCATTTGCAACATGCTTCTTTCTTTTCACAAGCACAGAAAATGGAATGCTGGTAACAGAATGACTAAAGCTGGGAATTCGGAGATTCACGCAGAGATGAATGCTGCCGAATTTAAATGAAAAGGGAATGCTTTCCACAACCGATGCCATATAGTTGCAGCAGTACGCACAACAGTGGGTTTTCATCACAAAACTCTTTTCTCATGTGTAAACCTAGTGCATCAGAACTTTTGAACTACATGGATATGGATGTTGCAGGATGAGCACACTACACTCATGCCTCAGCCCTTCATATTTTGCCATGACTAGGAGAGACAAAGACTAGGGAGCTCGGTGAGTAACCATGTCTGCGTGACAAAGACCTCGTTCAGCAGCCAGGTCCTCGGTCGAAAGAACCCATTTGACGGTCCTTCCTCTCCGCTTCTTGCACATGGAATGAGATCCACCTTGGAATGCTTGGCACAGTGGAGATGAAGGTAGCAGAGTAACAATATACATCACTAAACACTTGCTATGTACCAAAGGGAAGCATTGGCATTTTCCATTGAAAAGGATTGGGAATCTGTAGCAAAAAAACATTTAAAAATCAAATGACTTCAGATCTCTCATGAAGCTCCATTTGGAACAAGATAGGTAAAGTTGATTTCTCCCACCCATGTTGAATCTTGGAGTATTTCCTCAATGAGCTCAGGCCTAACACCATTTTCACGAAAGGCTCTTGGCAGCTTCATCAACTGCCAAGAGACCATCCTGTTCTTGAACAGATGAACTTGAGCAAGCAGCAATCATGAAATTTTCCCAGGCACAAGGGTATCTTCATCGTGAACTTCCCAAGGCACAGGGGTTTCTCATCGACTTAAATCAACACGTGCCAATCTGCTACATGGCATAATAAATCCCACAGAAAGGTAGTAGGCTCCTAAGTGAGTACCAGAACTGTAAACCCCCCATAAAACCCTCCTATATTTGAACGACAATCCCCCAAGTAGAGCCACGTCCACGGAATCCAATATTCACACACTGGATGAGGTTCAGTTGGGGCTGGGCACACTGAAGACTAGCCAGGCACTCTGGTCTCTTCCCGCCGAAGGAGGTTAGGAGCCCTTGGGTCGCCGTCTCTTACGTCTCGTCGAGCGGAGGAGCACGTACGATCCGTATTCACAGTATTCGGGGGTGAGGAATGGTACGTAGAATGCTCGCAGGAACTGAGGAGACCTGGAATATTGTGCAGACAGGAAATGAAACACCAGCAGGAATCAAAGATGAACCAAGTCTGATAATAATTACTGTCATATCATTAGCAACTGATCAGACCATGAAACATTCCCTTGCTTTATGTCTCATGAAATTTACATTAGTATGAAATCAACCATAATAATTTCTTTGTAAAGAATTCACACCTGGGAATTAGAAATGTTATGAAAAGACTGAAGTGTTCCCAGGCACAAAAATAAAACCAGTGACAGAGCAGATTTACCTTGCAGCATCGAGGAAAGGCCAGGACTTGACAAGAGTCCAGTTTTCAGTGTCAGCTGAAAAATGAGGCTCTGCTTCAGTTTCCCCATCTGCAAACTCCACATCCACCAGGAATTCGCACATCCATGGCTCCACCTATTCCATGGCACAATAAGCCACACCATTAGAAAATAGAAGAAGCAGCAAAAGATTAGATCCTGCAATCCTCCTCATAGAGTATTTCTCTATGACAGTTTACGAACCAAATGATTCTTGAGAAACATGATGAACTTCTACCTGTATTACAATTTCAAACTATCTGCGTAACAATACCCAGATTATCCACACTAAAGAAAGGGAGTTGATCATCAGGTGATCAGAAAGCAGTGGTAATTCTTGTTATTTTCACAAGAAAATGTTTACTATCAACAGTTGATACTCATATCAGTTGATTTTCTGCAACATACTGAGGGCCAAGGACCACAATTTTATGTTTTGACAGTCTAGTTTTCAAATGCCAGGGACTCAATGTGTTAATGTGGTACTGAAACTTCAAAATTACAGAATGCCATAGAATGTCTTTTCAGTAATGTTATTAATTCATGATAATAGAGGAAACATGCTATTTTCCTTCTCTGGTAAAAATTCATTTTTGTTGCAGCAATACTCATACAATCATAGACATAAGCTTTACACACACACATCACAAGGGATTCCTCTAGCACCTTATTCATTTTCTGAAAGGATGCTTCCCACAAAAAAAGAGACAAAATGGAGGGGAACTGACATAACGAGATGGCTCCTCCACATTGCGATCATTCATGTGGGGAGGAGGAACCGAGGTCGCATCGGGTGCCTGGCTGTAGTGCTGCGGCAGTTGTCCTCTGAACTCTGACCGCAGGAACTGAGCTTTCCACCTGCCAAAAGACAGTCGAAAGTTTGGATTTTCCAACTCTGATGACTCAAATCACCACCAAAGAATGGAGTGAGGGGACAACAAAGAGCATAAGACAGTGAAACAAAAATAATGCTGACATACTGAGAGGAAGGGAGAAAGAAGTGAGATGGGAAGCGATGCCACTCCTTTCCAAGGCAGACGTTGATAGGCTTGTCCAAGGAGACTTCCCCACTCATCCCAAGTTGGTTCACCTCCATGAATGCCTCCATGGGGGCATGGTAACCTGTAAGTGCCAATTCAATAACGATCCATCAAATACCATTCACTCAACTATAATTACAGACTAATATAGGGCAGTGGTACACAACCTTTCCCCCATAGAGGGCCAAAATGAGATTTTGGCTCATGTTCAAGGGGTTTGAGGAGCACAGGCCCTTGAACATGAGACAAAATAGGCAGCATATAAACATGGATATTTAGAGACTGAAGGCATTTAAGGGGCCGCAAAAAAGTTCTCTGCAGGCCAAGGGTTGTGCATCACTGATGTAAGGGATTATGTTTCTAATGCAAGCTACTCAAAATGATCTATAAAATTAGACTTATTCCAATCTTCAGAATAGTCCATAGTTCTTGATTTTTAAATGAAAGATCCAAGAAGTCCCATGTATGCAAAACCAGCTTTCCATAGCAAAGTGAAAGGCATGGGTACCTCTGAAGACGGCAAGGATGCGGGAGAGACCGAGGAGCCCCGACGCGACGATGGTGACGGCAGCGATCCAATTGGTGTGGTGGAGGTAATGCGTCAGCCTCCTCCCCTCCTCCCCCCACCTGAGGTGTGCATACAGGCAGAAGTAGAGCTTCTGGAGCACGTCCAGGGCCGTCCCCGCCCCGAGGCAGAGCAACGGGTACACCGGGTACAGGAAACGCTCCTCTTTGTGCGGTTGCACCAGGAACACCCCGAGCCAGAGGTAGAGGCCGAGGAACGCGAGAGGGTACGGGATGGTGCGTCCGCCCGCTCCGGTCAGGTGCTCGATCAGCATCTGCAGCACGAACACTTTAGTCAAGGATGGCAACCAGATTCACATATAATTCAAGTAACAACTAAATTATTCATGGTGAATGAATTGAATGAGGATTCTCTTCAACATTTGTCAGTTGTCAGTTTCTGTCAACTGAAGACAGACAAAAGTTGTTGAAAATCCTTTTTTCTTTTTAAAAATGGGAGCATTGAAAACAGATCCAAAAAAATAAGAGAAACAGCACATTCATAGAGTGACATTTAGAACAAGAATTTGTAGTACAAGACACATATACTACACAAGCTCAGGATATAAATGCTTCGGCATAGACCTCACCTAAAAACATATTAAAGAATTTTAGATTAACCAGAAGGCAGAGATGGTAGGTTTACCGCAAGAGGAAGGGCAAGCAGGCCAAGGAGAAAGACAACATTGAAGTTAAGGAGGCCATTGACGATGTAATACGTCCACGGCTCCGTCCCGTACAGCTCCGACCCGCCCCGGAAGACGTTGTACAGCACGATGTTCAGAGCGGGGAACGTGAGGCGACCATACATCTGCGAGTCTATGTATATCACTGGCACCTGGAAAAGAGACCCAGCATCCAATACTATGAATGAAGTTTCATGCATAAATGAACTCAACAAGGTGAGCCAGCTGATAATTTTGTGCATTCAGTGATTAGGCCTAATTCATATTGGGAGGATGCATCACTATTTAAAGCTAACAAGGAGCTAATGACTACTGCCTGAACTTAAAAGAATCAATGCTACAACGAAACAGGATTATAGAAAAGCCATCAACATACCATACCAGTAATGAAAGCTTAAGAAAGTAGAACTGTTCCAATCCAATATCTTCAAACATACCACAGAATTATGAAATTGAGGCACTGATTTCACACATTGGCAATCATATGGGCAATAGCTGTTTTCATGCTGTCTTCCTAATCTACCTCTTCAAGAGCTGCCATTAAAATGCCTCAACCTACAAGGGCTGCACAGAACATACCACACGCAAAATTATCAACGGTCAATTATTAGAAAATTTATAATCATTATAAAAGCAAACTCCGTTCACTTAAATCCCTGGCAGTGCCATGCTGAGGTCAAACAAAGAGCACTCACCACGACAAGGAGGACTGACATGGCCACAGACTTCGCAAACACCTTCCACACCTTCCGGCGGAAGAGCATGTCGATCGCGATCGGAACCCTGGGAACCCAATTCATTTTGTGAATAACATCACTTTGCATCAAAGATAACCTCTTTCCATTACAAGACAGAGCCTGCTTGGTTTACAATGAAATGCCACAGAACATTTTGTCAATTTGTTTTTTGTTTTTTTTTTTTTGCTAACACTTGTAAAATGTTGGGAATTTTCACCTGAACATAGCATATCATTTCAAGCAGAAATGTACCAATGAGAAAACCCTTTAGTGAGACCAGAGAAACAGGCATGTACACTTCTGAAGGTGAAATAAAAATAGAGAATTTTATGCTGATAAGAAACTAATGAAAACATTAATCTATTTATTTGCCCACTACTGATGGTATAAATCACTATATGAGGGAGAGGTTGGTTGCATCAGGATCTAGGTCAATTGACACTCATTTTGAGAAACCAATTCAAGGAAGTTTCCTCCCACACGGTAAATAATACACATCCATCTACTGCAAACTGAAACTAATTCACACACTCTCCCTAGCCCAATTCAACCATAGCAGGAATCTCAAGAACTTAATTTCGGCATGAAATAAAGAAATGAGACTTCTTCGTACCCAAGCAGAGCGGCGAAGGGCCACCCGAAGACGGCCGATATGGCGGTGGACACGACGGCCACCTCGTCCATCCCCCGGAACCACGACCCCATCGACAGGAGACACATGTACCTGCCAATGTCAGGAATTCCCGATGTGCATCACCTTTATACAGGCTTTAAACCCA